CTCAGATCTCCCAGACAGAAGATGAGCTGTGCTCCAGACCTGCTCTCAGGGAGGAGGTGCTCCCTCCTGGACCCCTTCCCCAGGGAGCACAGCATTCTCCCAGCTAGCAAGGAATGCTTACTGTTAACAATTGCATGAGATGATTGGCAGGATTGAGGCAAGTTGGCTGACTTTTGGTCTGAAGAATCTCCATGCAGTACAGAGATGTTTCTGGTTTCCAGAGCCCAAGTTTAAAATGTCAGTATCTCCCTTAGGGTGTAACGATCTAAGACCGTTCATACCAAGGAGATGACATGTGGGATTTTTTAGCCAACTCCCTGGAGGTTGTTTTTTTCTTTCTTACGTTTTAATATCTTCTCATTTGCTAACTTTCTGGGGGGGTTAAAAATCATACAACAGAACACCATGAACTTGGCAGACACTGGGAGAAACTAAGACATCTAGGACCCACTAAACACCTTCTAGACCCTGGTACGTTTTTAAGTAAGATGTTCCACATCGCTGCGTGTGAGCAAGGTCCCATCCCATTCCATCTGGGACTAAACTAGGCTGTGATTGAAGGGCAGCTTCATATTTACAATGGTTGGAGTACTGTTAAATCTGGCCCTCATCTAATGACATGTCTTCCCTTTTGGAAGTTCACGAGTGTTTAGAAACTTGCCTTTAAATAACAGGTGAACCTCTACTTATGACTATCTGGGGACAGAATTCTGACTCAAGGCCTGATTCATTCCAAAGACATCTCAGACACTTGTTTAGCTGAATTTGAAGACCGTAGCTCTTCTTCTTTACCAGCCACAGCAACTGTTCTTTCTGGTCTTGGCTAGAGATGCAGCAGTGTTCGGGGGTAGCATGGCCAGAACAGCATTAGCTAGCTCATTAATGCTCAACTGCAGCATAGTTCTAACACTGATATGGCATGGAAGGCTTGCTTCATCCTTACAGTGTTTAAACTTATTCCTAGAGTGCTATAGGGCTGAATCTTGGAGTCCTTTCTATGTATAGTCTGTCTAGATTATCTCAGTCATCTCCTGCCTTTCAATGCTATCTATATGCTGACGACCTCCAAATGTGTTATATCCATCACCCAGATGTCTCCCCTGGACTCCAAACTCATGTAGCCAACTATCCGACTTGACTTCTCTGTTGGAATTCAGTGGGCAGCTCAGACTCCACAGGGGGCTCCCAAATGGAGGTCTTGCTTTTTCCTCCCAAATCTTCTCCACCCAGTCCCTTTATCTCAGTCAGTAGCTACCCCATTTAACCACTGACTCAAGCCAAAAAATTCAAGTCATCTTTGGTTTCTCCCTTTTCTTCATGTCTACCATGTCATCCACCACCAGTTCCATTCTTTTTACCTCCAAAAAAGCTCTCAATCACTCTACTTCTCTTCATCTCTACCATCCCACCCTAGTCCTAGCCAGTGCCTCTCTTTCCTGGAACCACAAAACTCTTAACTGCCTGCTTCTGCCTTTCCCTCTCCACTGCACTCTTATCCCCACAGCCAGTGTGAGCCTCCCTTTAATGGCTCCCCACTGCTCTTAGAACAAAATACACATTCTTCATCATGACCTGGAATGACCTCACCATGGCCTGTTTTTCCAAACTCACCCTACCCCTCTCTGCTTCTCTTACTGGCCTCCCTTCTGTTCCTTAAAGACCCTCCTGCAGGCCTCTGCCTTCCTCTAGCTCTTCATTCTTATACTTCAGGATTCAGCTCAAATGTCACCTCCTTGGAGGGGTCTCCTGGTCTAGTCTATCTGAATAAGCTCCTCTAAGGAGTCCCCGGCTCATTAGCATGTTTCATTTCTTCACCTGCCACAGAAAACATTTATACTGCTTGTGTACATTTCACTTCATTCTGTCAAATAGTGGTCATGTGATCCCCTATCATGTTGTAGGTCTGGGGATGTAACGTGAACCAGACAAAGTTCTCTGTGCCCTGGAGTTTGCTTTCAAATGCAGAAGAGAGACAATAGACAAATAACAAGTAAATAGACAATATAATGTCAGATGATGAACATACTGTGAAGAAAAACAGGGTAAGCAAATTGAGACCAACAGATGATGCAAACAATCAGTGACTGAAGGCCATGTAAGAACTAATGACTGATAAGGAAACATCCCAAATAAATGGGCAACGGGTGTTTTATTCAAACTGGTTTTAAAGCAATAAACTATTTTGAGAAAATGAATTTTAAGCCATATCTCACAGCATGAGTTCCAGGAGGATTAAAAAGCTAAGTGTGCAAGTGAAACCATAAACTAGAACAAAATTACCTTATCTATGGGTGGGTATGAATGGCAGAGTCCATGTGTAAGGAAAGAAACGCCATGAAATGATTGATCAGCTACATAATAACTTAATATTTCTGTGTCAAAAGAATCATGAAGTTAAGAAAGGGAACAAATTGGGGGAAATACTTGCTACAAATGGGACTAATAAAAAGTCTGATAATGTTAATATATCACATGTCTTCAATTCTAAAGCTCTTTTTCCCCCTTGCATGTTTCTCAAAATCAGGATGTTTTTCAACCACCATGTACATTTAATGTGATCATTAAAAATGTTAGATCAATGGTATATCTTAAAAATAATAACATCTTGCAATCAATGTTATTTTTTTTAAGTTCACAAAAATTAGTATGAACATTAAAGTTCCTGGTAGAAAATAGCTCATTCATTTAACAAATATTTGCGTGCTTGTGCTGTAGCAAGGGGGTAGGTGTAGAGTGATAAGCAAAATAGGCAAAAATCCTTGCTTTTAAGTGCCTTCTCTGGTCACTGCTTGGTGCCCTGTCCACTGCTTATATCAGTCTAAGATCAGTTGGGTTGTTTCAGCGAAAATAAGGACCTTGGCCAAGGCCACTCAGTAGTTTAGTGATAGGAGCAGATCCAACTCCGGTCTGCATGGCTCTAAACCCAGTCGTCTTTCTTCAAATGACCATGATTCTTGAGCTAAGTGACCGTGATTCTCACACTCAGCCTTGCTGACAGCGCTGTCGTTCCTGTGCCTGCTTCCTTGTCACCTGCCCCTCCCTAGGTGTCGGATTCAGTCAGTGAACTGTTGGTGCAAATAGAAAGCATCACAGTGGACACATAAAAGCCTAATCCTACATTATTTAGGTGCCTTCCTGTATGCTTTTAAAACTTGTGCTGAGTCACATGTATCATTTAAATTTAACCAAAATTTTAGCAATGACACAAGTAAACAACTTACAGCTATAGGTTTGGGGAAGGACAAGAAGGAAAAAGAACCCACTGTACACCGTTTGCAGTGCCTGGGAGGAACGTAGTTAGCAGGTTTCCTGAGCTGGGTTCTGTGGAAGGTCCCATGTTGGGGATTCTTGTCAAGTGACACACGCAGCAAGTGCTTTCAGGAGAAGGAGAGGGAAGCAGTGGGCGGCAGGGAAGTGTTAAGTAGGGATGTGGTCTCCTCTGGAGATGAGCTTCCTCCTGATCCCACGGGGAGCTCTGGAATATGAATTGTACCAGAATGGTCCCTCACTAAGGCAGGGGAGCTGACCTTTTACACCCCCGTGTCAGCCATCCATTGGCCACGTGCTGCCTGGGGGTCAAATGTAGTTTAACCTACCCAAAGTGGCTGGGAGCAGTTTTCCCTGCGAAGCAGGCAGCTGTGAGCCATTAGTGGCCAATTCACAATATCTGGGGATGGGTGCATTGCCCAGTACAGGGATCTGGGCGGGATGCCAACGCCATCCACTGCAGAAGTCCAAAACGAAATTAATTTGGAAGATTACCAAGTGGTAGGTTTTGACATAGCAGGAGCCCTCTGACTAAATCTGCCTATTGAACACAGGACTTAGCATCAGGGAGCTTCTCGGTTTTTATCGTGCTTTGGGGTGTAAGGTATTAGATCAGCTTTGGCAGAAGGGAAATTCGCTTTTAAGGAAAGCATTGTGGCAGGTGTGCTCTGCAAAGGCTAAGAAGGTTCTTATGGAAATTTTTATGTTATTATTGGAAAAAACGCAAAAAGGGTTAGAGAAATAATTGGAAACAATTACCAGAAACTACCTTATATAATACCAACTTTGTCAGAAGAATGGTACTGAATTCCTGTAGCTATCATTCATTTTTATTCTAGATTTTTCTCAAATCATTTTGCACATTGGTACTTTCCTATAAATACATATTTTGCTAACAGTGCTTTGCATAGAATGTTCAGCTATATAATGGTGGACACATGTCATTACATATTTGTCAAAACCCCCTAGAATGTACAACACCAAGCGTGGACCCTAACAAACTATGGGCTTTGAGTGATAATGATGCGTCACTGTAGGTGCATTGATGTAATAAATGTCCCACGCTGGTGGGGAACACTGATAGAGGGGGCGGCTGTGTGTGTGTTGGAGTGTTGGCTGTATGGAAACAGTCTGTACTTTCTGCTCCATTTTGCTGTGAACCTAAAACTACTCTAAAACATAGTTATCTTTTTAAGAAATATATATCCTTATTGATTTCAGGGAGAGGAAGGGAGATGGAGAGAGATAGAAACATCCATGATGAGAGAGTCATTGATCGGCTGCCTCCTGCACGCCCCCTGCTGCGGATCGAGCCCCCAACCCGGGCATGTGCCCCAACCGGGAATCGAACCTCCATCTCCTGGATCATAGGTTGATGCTCAACCACTGAGCCACACCTGGGCCATAACATCTATTTTTAAAAGTATATAACTCTACAAAAAGCTGACTTAGCTGTTGTCTCTTCCTAACGACAGAGAGAGTGTTCTGGTCACATTTTAAAAATAAAATTCTCTCCACTTGGACATCCATTGCCACCATCTCCCATGTAACTGATTTTTGTCTGGTTGGTGGTAAAGTTCCTTTGGAAATGCCATCCTGACCAGGAACCCAGTACCTCAGAGTGTCCCTCACGGAGGATGGTTAACATAATCAGAGTATGCTATGGTCCCATCTCCTTGAGCAAGCATTATTTAAAAATACTACTGGAAAATCATATGTAGAGGAACAACAAGATGGCGGCGCAGGTAACAGCTGCACCCGCCGCATCCGCAACCACATCAAAATTACAACTAAAATACAGAACCACCGACACTCTGAGCCTCCTGAAATCTGGCTGAACAGAAGCCCCACAACCAGGGACCTGAAGGAGCACGGAGACCGGTAGGAGGGGCGCAGACGCAGGCGGATCGGGGCTGAATCACAAAGACGTGCTGCGGGCCCACACCCAGTGCCACGGTTGAAACCCGGGAGGGAATCTCGGCAGCGGAGGTTTCCCGGAGGAAGGAGGGGTCCCAGCCCCACAGCAGGCCCCCAGCCCAGGGCTCCAGGCCAGGAAGAGACGTCCCCACAACTCTGGGCTGTGAAACCAGCCGGGACTGTCCCTGAGGGTCGGGGAGGCTGCGGGAGCCCCAGCAGCTCCTCTAAAGGGCCCGGCACGGACTCCCTCAGACGCTCCCTCTGAGCCCAGCGCCGGGCAGCAGCCTGAAAGGACCCGGGACACTCGGGGAGGAACTAACCTGCCTGGAATCCGGGCGAGAGCTGTGGGGGCGGCTTCCTCCTGGGCAGAAGGGCTGGCGGAGGCCGTGGCTCCTGTGGCGAGTCCTCCCCGCACATGGCCGGCAGGCAGGCGCTTCTCTGAACCTCCAGCACCTGACTCACACCTTCGGCCCCACCCCGTGATTCCCGGAGGCCCCGCCCCTCCCCACCTGAAGCTCATCCGGGCCATTTCCAGGGGCTTTTCTATGCAAGTGACCTCTCGAGCCTCATGCTTAGGACTTTCCTAAAATCTCTCAAACAAGCAGCAGC